TCACACCAGAATTGACCCCAAAATGCCCCAAATTTACCCCAAAATTCACCCCAAAATATCCCTAAAATTACCCCAAAATTCACCCCAAAAATATCCCAAATTCACCCCAAATATTCACCCCAAAATATCCCAAATTCAACCCAAAATTCACCCCAAAAAATCCCAAAATTACCCCTGAAAAATAAAAAAACAATCCCGAAATTCACCCAAAATTACCCCAAAAATCCCAAATTCACCCCCAAATATCCCAAATTTACCTCCAAAAAATCCCAAAAAAATCCCCAAAAATTCACACCAAATTCACCCCAAACTGTCCCAAATTCACCCCAAAATTACCCCCCAAAATCCCAAAATTTACCCACAAAATTTACCCCAAAATGCCCCAAACTCACCCCAAAAATATCCCAAATTCACCCCAAAATTTACCCCAAAATATCCCAAATTTACACCAAAATTTACCCCAAAAATCCCAAAATTATCCCAAATATTCACCCAAAATATCCCGAATTCACCCCAAAAATTCACCCCAAAAATCCCAAAATTTACCCCAAAACTGACCCCAAAAGGTCCCAAATTTACCCCCCAAAAATCCCAAAATTTACCCCAAAAATTGACCCCAAAAATCCCAAATTCACCTCCTGGTTCTGGCCCTGCTGTGAGTGACCAAAAATCCCAAAATTCACCCCAAAATATCCCAAATTCACCCCAAATTCACCCCAAAAAATCCCAAATTTACCCCAAAAATCCCAAATTGTCCCAAAATGCCCCAAATTTTCCCCAAATTTTCCCCAGAAGTGACCCCAAAATGCCCCCAAACTGATCCCAAAATTGACCCCAAATGTCCCCAAATCCACAAAATGTTCCAAATTTTCCCCATAATTGTCCCAAAATTGTCCCCAAAATTGTCCCTAAAATGTCCCCAAATTTTACCCCAAAATTGACCCCAAAATGTCCCCAAAATGTCCCAAATTCGCCCCAAATTTTCTCCCATATTTGACCCCAAAATGTCCCAAATTTTCCCCATTATTGACCCCAAATGTCCCAAATTTTCCCCATAATTGACCCCAAAATGTCCTTAAAATGTCCCTAATTTGTCCCTAAAATGTCCCCAAATTTTACCCCAAAGTTGATCCCAAAATGTCCCCAAAATGTCCCAAATTTACCCCAAATTTTCTCCCATTATTGACCCCAGTGTCCCTAAAATTGTCCCCAAATGCCCCAAATTTACCCCCAAATTTGCCCCAAATGTCCCCAAATTTGCCCCAAATGTTCTCCCATATTTGACCCCAAAATGTCCCAAATGTCCCAAATTTTCCCCATAATTGTCCCCAAAATGTCCTTAAAAATGTCCCCAAATTTGCCCCAAATTTGCCCCATTATTGACCCCAAAATGTCCCAAATTGTGCCCAAAGTTTCTCCCATATTTGACCCCAAAATGTCCCAAATTTTCCCCATTATTGACCCCAAATGTCCCAAAATTTCCCCATAATTGACCCCAAAATGTCCTTAAAATGTCCCTAATTTGTCCCTAAAATGTCCCCAAATTTTACCCCAAAGTTGATCCCAAAATGTCCCTAAAATGTCCCCAAAATGTCCCAAATTTACCCCAAATTTTCTCCCATAATTGACCCCCAAAATGTCCCCAAAGTGTCCCTAAAATGTCCCCAAATCCCCCAAATTTTACCCCCAAATTTGCCCCCAAATGCCCCAAATTTGCCTCAAATTGACCCCAAATTTTCTCCCATACTTGACCCCAAAATGTCCCAAAAATTCCCCATAATTGACCCCAAAAATGTCCCCAAAATTTGCCTCAAATTGACCCCAAATGTCCCCAAAATCCCCACAATTGACCCCAAATTGTCCCCAAAATGGCCCAAATTTGTCCCAAATTTTCTCCCATACTTGACCCGAATTGTCCCAAAATTGTCCCATAATTGACCCCAAAATGTCCCAAATTGTCCCCAAAGTTTCTCCCATATTTGACCCCCAAAATGTCCCCAAAATGTCCCAAATGTGCCCCAAAATTGTCCCTAATTTGTCCCTAAAATGTCCCAAAATTGTCCCCATAATTGTCCCTAAAATGTCCCAAATTTTCCCCATAATTGTCCCTAAAATGTCCCCACATTTTACCCCCAAAATGTCCCAAATTCACCTCAAATTGTCCCCAAAATCTCCCCAAATTGGTCCCTAAAATGTCTCCAAAATGTCCCAAATTTGACCCTAAAATATCCCAAATTTTCCCCAAATTTTCTCCCATTATTGACCCCAAAATGTCCCAAAATTTCCTCATAATTGACCTCAAAATGTCCCCAAATTGTCCCTAAAATGTCCCCAAATCCCCCAAATTTTACCCCAAATTGTCCCCAAATTATGCCCAAATTGTCCCTAATTTGTCCCTAAAATGTCCCCAAATTTTACCCCAAAATGTCCCAAATTGGTCCTAAAATATCCCAAAATTGTCCCAAAATCTCCCCAAAATGTCCAAATTGTCCCTAAAATGTCCCCAAATCCCCCAAATTTTACCCCCAAATTTGCCTCAAATTGACCCCAAAATGCCCCAAATTTTACCCCCAAATGTTCCCAAAATGCCCCAAATGTTCCCGAAATGCCCCGAATTTGCCCCAAAATTGCCCCCAATGTGCCCCAGGCTGCTGAGCTCGGGGCGCGTGGGCAGCATCGGGGACGGGGCCTTCGATGGACTGGGAATGCTGGAGTACCTGTGAGTGTTACTGGGTATACTGGTTTGTACTGGTCTGTACTGGGAATGGGACTGGGAATGGGACTGGGACTCGGAATGCTGGAGTACCTGTGAGTGTTACTGGTTTGTACTGGTTTGTACTGGTTTGTACTGGTTTGTAGTGGTTATACTGGGAATGGGACTTGGTGTGCTGGAGTACCTGTGAGTGCTTGTACTGGTCTGTACTGGGTATACTGGTTTATACTGGGAATGGGACTGGGAATGGGATTGGTTTGTACTGGGAATGGGACTCGGCATGCTGGAGTACCTGTGAGTGCCTATACTGGTTATACTGGGTATACTGGTTTATACTGGGAATGGGACTCGGCATGCTGGAGTACCTGTGAGTGCTACTGGTTTGTACTGGTTTGTACTGGTCTGTACTGGGAATGGGACTGGGGATGCTGGAGTACCTGTGAGTGTTTGTACTGGTTTATACTGATTTGGACTGGGAATGGGACTGGGAATGGGACTCGGCATGCTGGAGTACCTGTGAGTGCTACTGGTTTGTACTGGTTTGGACTGGGAGGGACTGGGAATGGGACTGGGAATGCTGGAGTACCTGTGAGTGTTACTGGTTTGTACTGGGAGGGACTGGTTTGGACTGGGAGGGACTGGGAATGGGACTGGGGATGCTGGAGTACCTGTGAGTGTTACTGGTTTGTACTGGGTTATACTGGTCTGTACTGGGAATGGGGCTCGGCATGCTGGAGTACCTGTGAGTGATTGTACTGGTTTGTACTGGTTTGTACTGGGAATGGGACTCAGCGTGCTGGAGTACCTGTGAGTGTTACTGGTTTGTACTGGTTTGTACTGGGAATGGGACTCGGCATGCTGGAGTACCTGTGAGTGCTTATACTGGTTTGTACTGGTTTGTACTGGGAGGGACTGGGAATGGGACTGGGAATGGGACTGGGGATGCTGGAGTACCTGTGAGTGCCAAACTGGTTTGTACTGGTTTGTACTGGGAGGGACTGGGAATGGGACTGGGAATGGGACTGGGAATGGGACTGGGAATGCTGGAGTACCTGTGAGTGCTTGTACTGGTTATACTGGTTTGTACTGGTCTGTACTGGGAATGGGACTGGGGATGCTGGAGTACCTGTGAGTGTTTGTACTGGTTTGTACTGGTTTGGACTGGTTTGTACTGGTTTGTACTGGGTATACTGGTTATACTGGTTTGTACTGGTCTGTACTGGGAATGGGACTCGGCGTGCTGGAGTACCTGTGAGTGATGTACTGGTTTATACTGGTTTGTACTGGGAGGGACTGGGAATGGGAATGGGGCTGGGGATGCTGGAGTACCTGTGAGTGTTTGTACTGGTTTTGTACTGGTTTGGACTGGGAATGGGACTGGGAATGGGGCTGGTTTGTACTGGAATGGGACTCGGCATGCTGGAGTACCTGTGAGTGCTACTGGTTTATACTGGGTATACTGGTTTGGACTGGTCTGTACTGGAATGGGACTCGGCGTGCTGGAGTACCTGTGAGTGTTACTGGTTTGTACTGGTTTGGACTGGGGAGGGACTGGGAATGGGACTCGGCATGCTGGAGTACCTGTGAGTGATTGTACTGGTTTGTACTGGTTTGGACTGGTTATACTGGTTTGTACTGGGAATGGGACTCGGCGTGCTGGAGTACCTGTGAGTGATTGTACTGGGTATACTGGTTTGTACTGGTTTGGACTGGTTTTGGACTGGTTTGGACTGGGAATGTGGCTGGGGATGATGGGGTACCTGTGAGTGTTACTGGTTTGTACTGGTTTGTACTGGGAGGGACTGGGAACGGGACTGGTTATATTGGTTATACTGGGAGGAACTGGTTTGTACTGGTTATACTGGGAATGGGACTGGGGATGCTGGAGTACCTGTGAGTGCCAAACTGGTCTGTACTGGTCTGGACTGGTTTGTACTGGGAATGGGACTGAGAATGCTGGAATAGCCGTGTTACTGGTTTGTACTGGTTTATACTGGTCTATACCAGTCAGTACCAGTCCATACTGGTCCATACTGGTCTACTAACTGGTCCATACTGGTCCGTACTGGTCCGTACCGGTGCACACTGGTCCATACTGGTCTCTAACTGGTCCATACTGGTTTATACTGGTCCGTACTGGTCCATACTGGTCCATACTGGTCCATACTGGTCTCTAACTGGTCCATACTGGTCTCTAACTGGTCCATACTGGTCCATACTGGTTTATACTGGTCCGTACTGGTCCCTCCCAGGTTCATCGAGGATTCCCAGCTCGGCTCCGTCTCCCCAGGGGCTCTCAGGGGACTCCGGGGGCTCCAATTCCTGTGAGTGACCCCAAAATGGCCCAAATGGCCCCAAAATGGCCCCAAAATGGCCTCAAATGGCCCCAAATGTCCCCAAAATGGGCCCCAAGTGTCACCAAATGGCCCCAAGTGTCACCAAATGGCCCCAAACGGCCCCAAATTGCCCCAAAATGGTCCCCAAATTGCCCCAAAATGGCCCCAAAATGGCCCAAAATGCTCCCAAAATGGCGCCAAATGGCCCCAAAATGGCCCCAAACGTCCCCAAGTGTCACCAAATGGCCCCAAAATGGCCCCAAATGGCTTAAAATGGCCCCAAAATGGCCCCAAAATGGCCCCAAAATGGCCCCAAAATGGCCCCAAATGGCCCCAAGTGTCACAAAATGGCCCCAAAATGGCCCCAAGTGTCCTCAAAATGGCCCCAAATGACCCCAAGTGTCACCAAATGGCTCAAAATGGCCCCAAATGGCCTCAAAATGGCCCCAAGTGTCCCCATTGTCCCCCAAATCCCTTCAATGGCCCCAAATTTCCCCAAAACCCAAAGTCCCCAAATGGCCCCAAATCCCCTCAATGTCCCCATTAATGTCCCCAATGTCCTAAATCCCCTAAATGCCCTCACTGTCCCCAAGTGTCCCAAAATGGCCCCAAAATGGCCCCAAGTGTCCCCAATGTCCCCAAATCGCCCAAAATGTCCCCAATCCTGTCAACGTCCCAAATGTCCCCAAATCTCCCCATTGTTGTCCCCAAGCCCCCAATGTCCCCAGATGCCACAAAGTGTCCCCAAATGTCCCCAGATATTGCCAAAATGCCCCCAATATGTCCCCAATGTCCCCAAATGTCCCCAAATCCCCAACATCTCCAGTGTCCCCAATCCCTTCAATGTCCCCAATGTCCCCTCAATGTCCCCAAATCCCCAACCCCTGCAATGTCCCCAAATCCCCTAAAATGTCCCCAAGCCCCCCAATGTCCCAAATGTCCCCAAACCCCCACAATGTCCCCAAATGTCCCCAAATGTCCCCAAAATGCCCCCAAATCCCCCAATGCCAGAAATGTCCCCGTTTGTGTCCTCGTTTGTGTCCCCAATGTCCCCGTTTGTGTCCCCATTTGTGTCCTCATTTGTGTCCCCAATGTCCCCGTTTAGTGTCCCCGTTAACGTCCCCAGTGTCCCCGTTACTGTCCCCATTGTCCCCTTTAACGTCCCCAATGTCCCCGTTTGTGTCCCCGTTTGTGTCCCCGTTGATGTCGCCAATGTCCCCCGTTTGTGTCCCCATTTGTGTCCCCATAAATGCCCCCCAATGTCCCCGTTTGTGTCCCCTTTAATGTCCCCTTTAATGTCCCCAGTGTCCCCGTTTGTGTCCCCAGTGTCCCCTTTAATGTCCCCAATCCCATAAAAATGTCCCCAATGTCCCCATTTGTGTCCCCATTGTCCCCATTGTCCCCGTTAATGTCGCCGTTTGTGTCCCTGTAATGTCCCTGTTGATGTCCCCAATGTCCGCGTTTGTGTCCCCATTAATGTCCCCGTTGATGTCCCTGTTAATGTCCCAATGACATAAATGTCCCCAATGTCCCCGTTTGTGTCCCCTTTAATGTCCCCTTTAATGTCCCCAATGTCCCCAATCCCATAAATGCCCCCAATGTCCCCATTACTGTCCCCCTTTGTGTCCCCAGTGTCCCCAATAACGTCCCCAATGTCCCCGTTTGTGTCCCCGTTTGTGTCCCCAGTGTCCCCTTTAATGTCCCTGTTTGTGTCCCCAATGTCCCCAATCCCATAAATGCCCCCAATGTCCCCAGTGTCCCTGTTTGTGTCCCCGTTAATGTCCCCATATGTGTCCCCATTAATGTCCCCGTTAATGTCCCCGTTTGTGTCCCCGGTCTCCTTGTTAATGCCCCCCAATGTCCCCAATCCCATAAATGCCCCCAATGTCCCCGTTTGTGTCCCCGTTTGTGTCCCTGTAATGTCCCTGTTGATGTCCCCAATGTCCCCATTAATGTCCCCGTTGATGTCCCCAATGTCCCCATTTGTGTCCCCAGTGTCCCCTTTAATGTCCCCGTTAATGTCCCCAATCCCATAAATGCCCCCATGTCCCCATTAATGTCCCCATTAATGTCCCCGTTTGTGTCCCCAGTGTCCCCTTTAATGTCCCCGTTAATGTCCCCAATCCCATAAATGCCCCCATGTCCCCATTAATGTCCCCATTAATGTCCCCGTTTGTGTCCCCATTAATGTCCCCGTTTGTGTCCCCAATGTCCCCATTAATGTCCCCGTTAATGTCCCCGTTTGTGTCCCCAATGTCCCCTTTAATGTCCCCAATCCCATAAAAATGTCCACAATGTCCCCATTAATGTCCCCGTTTGTGTCCCCAGTGTCCCCGTTTGTGTCCCTGTTGATGTCCCCAATGCCCCCCAATGTCCCCGTTTGTGTCCCCCCCGTTTATGTCCCCATTAATGTCCCCAATGTCCCCGTTAATGTCCCCATTTGTGTCCCTGTTAATGTCCCCAATCCCATAAATGCCCCCAATGCCCCCAATGTCCCCATTTGTGTCCCCGTTACTGTCTCCAATGTCCCCATTTGTGTCCCCAATGTCCCCGTCAATGTCCCCATTAATGTCCCCAATGTCCCTGTTTGTGTCCCCGTTTGTGTCCCCAATGTCCCCATTGTCCCCGTTTGTGTCCCCGTTAATGTCCCCGTTAACGTCCCCAATGTCCCCCCGTTTGTGTCCCCATTTCTGTCCCCGTTTGTGTCCCCATTAATGTCCCCAATGTCCCCGTTTGTGTCCCCAATGTCCCCGTTTGTGTCCCCATTTGTGTCCCCATTTGTGTCCCCATTGTCCCCATTAATGTCCCCATTTGTGTCCCCAATGTCCCCGTTTGTGTCCCCGTTAATGTCCCCGTTTGTGTCCCCACAGGAGTTTGGCCAACAACAACCTGGAGTCACTGCCCAGGGACCTCTTCAGGGACCTGGGGACACTGAGGCACCTGTGGGTGACATTGGGGGGACACTGGGGACACTGAGGCACCTGTGGGTGACACCAGGGGGACATTGGGGACACTGGGGACACTGAGGGCACCTGTGGGTGACACCGGGGTGACATTGGGGGTCACTGAGGCACCTGTGGGTGACACTGGGGACACCTGGGGACACCTGGGGGACACTGAGACACCTGTGGGTGACATTGGGGACATTGGGGACATTGGGGACATTGGGGACACTGAGGCACCTGTGGGTGACATTGGGGACATTGGGGACATTGGGGACATTGGGGACACTGAGGCACCTGTGGGTGACACTGGGGGGGACATTGGGGACATTGGGGTGACACCGGGGTGACATTGGGGACACTGAGGCACCTGTGGGTGACACTGGGGGGACATTGGGGACATTGGGGTGACACCGGGGGGACATTGGGGACACTGAGGCACCTGTGGGTGACACTGGGGACACTGGGGACACTGGGGACATTGAGGGTGACATTGGGGACACTGAGGCACCTGTGGGTGACACTGGGGACACTGGGGACACTGAGGGTGACATTGGGGACACTGAGGCACCTGTGGGTGACACCGGGGGGACACTGGGGACACTGGGGACACTGAGGCACCTGTGGGTGACATTGGGGACATTGAGGCACCTGTGGGTGACACCGGGGACATTGGGGACACTGAGACACCTGTGGGTGACATTGGGGACATTGGGGACATTGGGGACACTGAGGCACCTGTGGGTGACACCGGGGGGACATTGGGGGGACATTGGGGACATTGGGGACACTGAGGCACCTGTGGGGGACATTGGGGACACTGAGGCACCTGTGGGTGACACTGGGGGTGACACTGGGGACATTGGGGGACACTGAGGCACCTGTGGGTGACACCGGGGGGACATTGGGGGGACATTGGGGACATTGGGGACACTGAGGCACCTGTGGGTGACACTGGGGTGACACTGGGGGACATTGGGGACACTGAGGCACCTGTGGGTGACACTGGGGACATTAATGGGGACATTTGAGGGGATTTGGGGACATTTGAGGGGCTTTGGGGACATTGAAGGGGGCGTTGGGGACACTGGGTGGCTCGGGGGGTTGGTGTCCCTTTGGTGTCCCTTTGGTGTCACTCTGGTGCCACTTTGCTGCCGTTTTTGGTCACTTTTTGTCCCTTTAGTGCCACTTTGGTGCCATTTTGATGCCACCTGGCACCACCTGGTGACACTTTTGGTGCCATTTTTGTCCCAAATTTGTCCCTTTTTCCCCCATTTTTGTCCCATTTTTGTGACAAATGTCCCCATTTTTGCCCCATTTTGGTGCCATTTTTGCCCCATTTTTTCCCCATTTCCAGGGACCTGCGCGGGAACCCCCTGGTGCCACTTTGGGGATATTTTGGGGATATTTTTGGTGCCATTTTTGCCCATTTTTGTCCCATTTTTGTCCCATTTTTGGTGCCATTTTTGCCCAAATTTGCCCCTTTTTGCCCCATTTCCAGGGACCCTGTGTGGGAACCCCCTGGTGCCATTTTTGCCCCATTTTTTACCCATTTTTGACCCAAATTTCCCCGTTTTCTCCCCCATTTCCAGGGACCTGCACGGGAACCCCCCTGGTGCCATTTTTGCCCCATTTTTTGCCCATTTTTGCCCCTTTTTCCCCCATTTTCAGTGACCTCCGCAGGAACCCCCTGGTGCCATTTTTCTCCCAAATTTGTCCCTTTTTGTCCCATTTTTGTCCCATTTTTGTGACAAATGTCCCCATTTTTGCCCCATTTCCAGTGACCTGCGCGGGGAACCCCCTGGTGCCATTTTTTGTGCCATTTTTGCCCCATTTTTTGCCCATTTTTGCCCATTTTCTCCCCATTTCCAGGGACCTGCGCGGGAACCCCCCTGGTGCCATTTTCGGTGCCATTTTTGCCCATTTTTGCCCGTTTTTTCCCCATTTTCAGTGACCTGCGCGGGAACCCCCTGGTGCCACTTTGGGGATATTTTGGGGGATATTTCGGTGCCATTTTTGCCCATTTTTGCCCGTTTTCGCCCCATTTCCAGGGACCTGCGCGGGAACCCCCTGGTGCCATTTTTTACCCATTTTTTGCCCATTTTTGCCCGTTTTCTCCCCATTTTCAGTGACCTGCGCGGGAACCCCCTGGTGCCACTTTGGGGATATTTTGGGGATATTTTGGTCCCATTTTTGCCCAAATTTGCCCCTTTTTTCCCCATTTCCAGCGACCTGCGCGGGAACCCCCTGGTGCCATTTTTGGTGCCATTTTTTGCCCAAATTTCCCCGTTTTCTCCCCATTTCCAGGGACCTGCGCGGGAACCCCCTGGTGCCATTTTCGGTGCCATTTTTGCCCATTTTTGCCCCTTTTTGCCCCATTTCCAGTGACCTGCGCGGGAACCCCCTGGTGCCATTTTGGGATATTTTGGGGATATTTTTTGCCCATTTTTCCCCATTTTCACCCCATTTTCAGTGACCTGCGCGGGAACCCCCTGGTGCCACTTTGGGGATATTTCGGTGCCATTTTTTGCCCATTTTTGCCCGTTTTCTCCCCATTTCCAGGGACCTGCGCGGGAACCCCGTGGTGCCATTTTTGCCCCATTTTGGTCGCCATTTTTGCCCATTTTTGCCCGTTTTTTCCCCATTTTCAGCGACCTGCGCAGGAACCCCCTGGTGCCATTTTGGTGCCATTTTGGTGCCATTTTGGTGCCATTTTTGCCCATTTTTGCCCATTTTTTCCCTGTTTCCAGTGACCTGCGCGGGAACCCCCTGGTGCCATTTTTGCCCCATTTTTTACCCATTTTTGCCCCTTTTTGCCCCGTTTCCAGGGACCTGCACGGGAACCCCCCTGGTGCCACTTTGGGGATATTTTTGTCCCAAATTTTCCCATTTTTGCCCCATTTCCAGTGACCTGCGCGGGAACCCCCTGGTGCCATTTTCGGCCCCATTTTTTGCCCATTTTTGCCCGTTTTCGCCCCATTTCCAGTGACCTGCGCGGGAACCCCCTGGTGCCATTTTCGGTGCCATTTTTGCCCATTTTTGCCCCAAATTTGCCCCTTTTTTGCCCCTTTTTGCCCCATTTCCAGGGACCTGCGCGGGAACCCCCTGGTGCCATTTTTGCCCCATTTTTTGCCCATTTTTCCCCATTTTCACCCCATTTCCAGGGACCTGCGCGGGAACCCCCTGGTGCCATTTTTGGGATATTTCGGTGCCATTTTTGCCCATTTTTGCCCGTTTTGTCCCCATTTCCAGGGACCTGCGCGGGGAACCCCCCTGGTGCCATTTTCGGTGCCATTTTTGCCCATTTTTGCCCATTTTCTCCCCATTTCCAGTGACCTGCGCGGGAACCCCCTGGTGCCATTTTCGGTGCCATTTTTGCCCATTTTTTGCCCATTTTTGCCCGTTTTCTCCCCATTTCCAGGGACCTGCGCGGGAACCCGCTGGTGCCACTTTGGGGATATTTTGGGGATATTTCGGTGCCATTTTTGACCCAAATTTCCCCGTTTTCACCCCATTTCCAGGGACCTGCGCGGGAACCCCCTGGTGCCATTTTGGGGATATTTCGGTGCCATTTTTGACCCAAATTTGCCCATTTTCTCCCCATTTTCAGTGACCTGCGCGGGAACCCCCTGGTGCCATTTTGGGGATATTTCGGTGCCATTTTTGACCCAAATTTCCCCGTTTTCACCCCATTTTCAGTGACCTGCGCGGGAACCCCCTGGTGCCATTTTTGGTGCCATTTTTTACCCATTTTTTGCCCATTTTTGCCCGTTTTCGCCCCATTTCCAGGGACCTGCGCGGGAACCCCCTGGTGCCATTTTCGGTGCCATTTTTGCCCATTTTTGCCCGTTTTGTCCCCATTTCCAGTGACCTGCGCGGGAACCCGCTGCGCTGTGACTGCGCCCTGCGCTGGCTCCTGGCCTGGGGCGGCTCCCGCCCCTCCCCCCCCGAGGGCCGATGCCGGGGGCCCCTCCCCCACCTGGGCACCGCCCTGGCGCAGCTCCGCCCACAGCAGCTCCAGTGCCAGCGGCGCGGTAACTGGGATAAACTGGGATGGACTGGGATAGACTGGGGGGGACTGGGGGGGACTGGGAGGGACTGGGAGGGACTGGGAGGGACTGGGGGCAAAAAATCCGGGGATTTTGGGAAAAAAAATGGGGGTTTAAGGGTTAAAAATGGGAGTTTTAGGGGGAAAATGGGTATTTTTTGGAAAAAAATGGGGATTTTAGGGTTGATAATGGGGGTTTTGAGAGTGGAAACGGGACTGGGAGGGGCTGGGACAAACTGGGAGGGACTGGGAGGGGCTGGGGGCAAAAAATCCGGGGGTTTTAGGGTTAAAAATGGGGATTTAAGGGGTTAAAAATGGGGGTTTTAGGGTTAAAAATCGGGGTTTTGGGAGGGGAAACGGGACTGGTTTGTACTGGGACAAACTGGGAGAGACTGGGGGGACTGGGAGGGACTGGGAGGGACTGGGGGGAGGAAATCCAGGGATTTAAGGGTTAAAAATGGGGATTTAAGGGTTAAAAATGGGGGTTTTAGGGGTTAAAAATCCGGGGGTTTTTAGGGTTAATAATGGGGGTTTTAGGGTTAAAAATTGGGGTTTTGAGAGTGGAAACGGGACTGGTTTATACTGGGACAAACTGGGGCAGGAAAATCCGGGGATTTTTGGGTTAAAAATGGGGGTTTAAGGGTTAAAAATGGGGGTTTTGGGAGTGGAAATGGGACTGGTTTGGACTGGGACAAACTGGGAGAGACTGGGAGGGACTGGGGGGAAAAAATCCGGGGGTTTTTGGGGAAAAAAATGGGGATTTTAGGGTTAAAAATGGGGATTTTAGGGGGAAAATTGGTATTTTTTGGAAAAAAAATGGGGATTTAAGGGTTAAAAATGGGGATTTAAGGGGTTGAAAATGGGAATTTTAGGGTTAATAATGGGGGTTTTAGGGTTAAAAATGGGGGTTTTGGGAGGGGAAATGGGACTGGTTTGTACTGGGACAAACTGGGAGAGACTGGGGGCAAAAAAATCCGGGGGTTTTTGGGGGTTAAAAATGGAGATTTTAGGGTTAAAAATGGGGGTTTTGAGAGTGGAAAATGGGAATGGGAGGGGCTGGGAGGGACTGGGGGGGACTGGGAAGGACTGGGAGGGACTGGGGGGCAAAAAATCCCGGGGGTTTTAGGGTTAAAAATGGGGATTTAAGGGGTTGAAAATGGGAATATTAGGGTTAAAATGGGGACTTAAGGGTTAATAATGGGGATTTTAGGGTTAATAATGGGGGTTTTGAGAGTGGAAATGGGACTGGGGGGGACTGGGAGGGACTGGGGGGCAAAAAATCCGGGGGTTTTGGGAAAAAAAATGGGGATTTAAGGGGTAAAAATGGGGATTTTAGGGTTAAGAATAGGGGTTTAAGGGTTAAAAATGGAGATTTTTAAGGGTTAATAATGGGGGTTTCGAGAGTGGAAACGGGACTGGTTTGTACTGGGACTAACTGGGAGAGACTGGGAGGGAATGGGGGCAAAAAATCCGGGGATTTTAGGTTTTAGGGGTAAAAAATGGGGATTTTAGGGTTAATAATGGGGTTTGGGGAGTGGAAACGGGACTGGTTTGTACTGGGACAAACTGGGATGAACTCTGGGGAGGAAATCCGGGGATTTAAGGGTTAAAAATGGGAGTTTAAGGGGTTAAAAATGGGGGGGTTTTAGGGTTAAAAATGGAGATTTAAGGGTTAAAAATTGAGGTTTTAAGAGTGGAAACTGGACTGGTTTAAACTGGGACAAACTGGGAGGGACTGGGGGCAAAAAATCCGGGGGTTTTAGGGTTAAAAATGGGGATTTAAGGGGTTAAAAATGGGGGTTTACGGGTTAAAAATGGGGGGTTTAGGGTTAAAAATCGGGGGTTTGGGAGTGGAAACGGGACTGGTATAGACTGGGACAAACTGGGAGGGAGTGGGAGGGACTGGGGGCAAAAAAATCCGGGGGTTTTGGAGTTAAAAATGGGGCTTTTAGGGTTAATAATGGGGGTTTTAGGGTTAAAAATTTGGGTTTTGGGAGGGGAAACGGGACTGGTTTGTACTGGGACAAACTGGGATAGGAAAATCCGGGGATTTAAGGGTTAAAAAATGGGGGTTTTGGGAGTGGAAACGGGACTGGTTTGTACTGGGACAAACTGGGAGGGACTGGAGGGAAAAATCCGGGGTTTTTGGGGTTAAAAATGGAGATTTTTACGGGGGAAGGTTGGACTGGGATGTACTGGGGGAAGGAAGGATGGGGTTAAAAATGGGACTGGGAGGGGACTGGCAGTGTCCCCAAGCTGTCCCCAATGTCCCCAAGCTGTCCCCAATGTCCCTGGCTGTGTCCCCGTGTCCCTGTGTGTGTCCCCAGTGTCCCCAAGCTGTCCCCAATGTCCCCAATGTCCCTGGGGTGTCCCCAAGCGATGTCCCCAATGTCCCAAAGGTGTCCCCATGTCTCTGTGTGTGTCCCCAAGCTTACCCCCAATGTCCCCAAGCTGTCCCTGGCTGTGTCCCCATGTCCCTGGGTGTGTCCCCGTGTCCCTGTCAATGTCCCCAAGCTGTCCCTGTCAATGTCCCCGCTGTCCCCAGAGCTGCGGCCGTTCCAGTCTCTCCCGTTCTCGTCCCTTGGGTGCGGAGCCCGTGTCCCTCCAAGGCCACCCCGGGGTGTCCCTGGCTGTGTCCCCAATGTCCCCAAGCTGTCCCTGGCTGTGTCCCCAATGTCCCCAAGCTGTCCCTGGTTGTGTCCCCCCGTGTCCCTGTGTGTGTCCCCGTGTCCCTGTCAATGTCCCCAAGCTGTCCCCAATGTCCCCAATGTCCCCGCTGTCCCCCAGAGCTGCGGCCGTTCCAGTCTCTCCCATTCTCGTCCCTGGGTGCTGAGCCCGTGTCCCTCCAAGGCCACCCCGGGTGTTCCTGGCTGTGTCCCCAGTGTCCCTGTCAATGTCCCCAAGCTGTCCCTGGCTGTGTCCCCAAGCTGTCCCTGGCTGTGTCCCCAGTGTCCCTGGGGCTGTCCCCAATGTCCCTGGGGCTGTCCCCAAGCGATGTCCCCAATGTCCCCAAGGTGTCACCGTGTCCCTGGGGCTCTCCCTAGAACTGTCCCCAGTGTCCCCAGCAATGTCCCCAGGCTGTCCCTGTGTCCCTGGCGCTGTCCCTGGCTGTGTCCCCAATGTGCCCAAGCTGTCCCCAGTGTCCCTGGCTGTGTCCCCAGTGTCCCCAAGCTGTCTCCAAGCTGTCCCTGGCTGTGTCCCCAATGTCCCCGTGTCCCTGGGGCTGTCCCTGGGGTGTCCCCATGTCCTTGGGTCTGTCCCCAGCAATGTCCCCAGGCTGTCCCTGGCTGTGTCCCCATGTCCCTGCCTGTGTCCCCAAGCTGTCCCTGCCAGTGTCCCCAGTGTCCCTGGCTGTGTCCCCAGGGTGTCCCCCAGTATCCCCAGGCTGTCCCTGGCTGTGTCCCCGTGTCCCTGTCAATGTCCCCAAGCTGTCCCTGGCTGTGTCCCCATGTCCCTGTCAATGTCCCCAAGCTGTCCCCGCTGTCCCCAGAGCTGCGGCCGTTCCAGTCTCTCCCGTTCTCATCCCTTGGGGCCGAGCCCGTGTCCCTCCAAGGCCACCCCGGGGTGTCCCTGGCTGTGTCCCCAGTGTCCCCAATGTCCCTGTCAATGTCCCCAAGCTGTCCCCAATGTCCCCCAAGCTGTCCCCGCTGTCCCCAGAGCTGCGGCCGTTCCAGTCTCTCCCATTCTCCTCCCTGGTGCCGAGCCCGTGTCCCTCCAAGGCCACCCCGGGGTGTTCCTGGCTGTGTCCCCGTGTCCCCAAGCTGTCCCCAAGCTGTCCCTGGCTGTGTCCCCAATGTCCCCAAGCTGTCCCCAAGCTGTCCCTGGCTGTGTCCCCAATGTCCCCCGGGCTGTCCCTGGCTGTATCCCCAATGTCCCCAAGCTGTCCCTGGCTGTGTCCCCAATGTCCCCAAGCTGTCCCTGGCTGTGTCCCCGTGTCCCTGCCTGTGTCCCCAGTGTCCCCAAGCTGTCCCTGGCTGTGTCCCCAATGTCCCCAAGCTGTCCCTGGCTGTGTCCCCGTGTCCCTGGCTGTGTCCCCAATGTCCCCCCGCTGTCCCTGGCTGTGTCCCCAATGTCCCCAAGCTGTCCCTGGCTGTGTCCCTGTCAATGTCCCCAAGCTGTCCCTGCTGTCCCCAGAGCTGCGGCCGTTCCAGTCTCTCCCGTTCTCCTCCCTGGGTGCCGAGCCCGTGTCCCTCCAAGGCCACCCCGGGGTGTCCCTGGCTGTGTCCCCAATGTCCCCAAGCTGTCCCTGGATGTGTCCCTGTGTCCCTGGCTGTGTCCCCAATGTCCCCAAGCTGTCCCCAATGTCCCCAAGCTGTCCCCAAGCTGTCCCCAATGTCCCCAAGCTGTCCCTGGCTGTGTCCCCAGTGTCCCCAAGCTGTCCCTGGCTGTGTCCCCAAGCTGTCCCCCGCTGTCCCCAGAGCTGCGGCCGTTCCAGTCTCTCCCATTCTCCTCCCTGGGTGCCGAGCCCGTGTCCCTCCAAGGCCACCCCGGGGTGTCCCTGGCTGTGTCCCCAAGCTGTCCCTGGCTGTGTCCCCGTGTCCCTGGCTGTGTCCCCAATGTCCCCGTGCTGTCCCTGGCTGTGTCCCCATGTCCCTGTCAATGTCCCCAAGCTGTCCCCAAGCTGTCCCCAGAGCTGCGGCCGTTCCAGTCCCTGCCATTCTCATCCCTGGGTGCTGAGCCCGTGTCCCTCCAAGGCCACCCCGGGCTGTCCCTGGCTGTGTCCCCCGCTGTCCCCAAGCTGTCCCTGGCTGTGTCCCTGTGTCCCTGTCAATGTCCCCAAGCTGTCCCCAATGTCCCCGCTGTCCCCAGAGCTGCGGCCGTTCCAGTCCCTGCCCTTCTCATCCCTTGGTGCCGAGCCCGTGTCCCTCCAAGGCCACCCCGGGGTGTTCCTGGCTGTGTCCCCAATGTCCCCAAGCTGTCCCTGTCAATGTCCCCAAGCTGTCCCCAATGTCCCCGCTGTCCCCAGAGCTGCGGCCGTTCCAGTCTCTCCCATTCTCCTCCCTGGGTGCGGAGCCCGTGTCCCTCCAAGGCCACCCCGGGGTGTTCCTGGCTGTGTCCCCAAGCATCCCCAATGTCCCCAAGCTGTCCCTAGCTGTGTCCCCAGTGTCCCCAAGCTGTCCCTGGCTGTGTCCCCAATGTCCCCAAGCTGTCCCCAATGTCCCCAATGGTCCCCGCTGTCCCCAGAGCTGCGGCCGTTCCAGTCCCTGCCCTTCTCGTCCCTGGGTGCTGAGCCCGTGTCCCTCCAAGGCCACCCCGGGCTGTCCCTGGCTGTGTCCCTGTCAATGTCCCCAAGCTGTCCCTGTCAATGTCCCCAATGTCCCCGCTGTCCCCAGAGCTGCGGCCGTTCCAGTCCCTGCCGTTCTCGTCCCTTGGGGCCGAGCCCGTGTCCCTCCAAGGCCACCCCGTGGTGTTCCTGGCTGTGTCCCCAATGTCCCCAAGCTGTCCCTGGCTGTGTCCCCAATGTCCCCAAGCTGTCCCCGCTGTCCCCAGAGCTGCGGCCGTTCCAGTCCCTGCCCTTCTCCTCCCTTGGGGCTGAGCCCGTGTCCCTCCAAGGCCACCCCGTGGTGTTCCTGGCTGTGTCCCCAATGTCCCCAAGCTGTCCCTGGATGTGTCCCCATGTCCCTGGTTGTGTCCCCAAGCTGTCCCCAATGTCCCTGGGGTGTCCCTGGCAATGTCCCCAATGTCCCAAAGGTGTCACCGTGTCCCTGGGGCTCTCCCTAGAACTGTCCCCAGTGTCCCCAGGCTGTCCCTGTGTCCCTGGCGCTGTCCCTGGCTGTGTCCCCATTGTCCCTGGCGCTGTCCCTGGCTGTGTCCCCAATGTCCCCAATGTCCCCAAGCTGTCCCCAAGCTGTCCCCAGAGCTGCGGCCGTTCCAGTCCCTGCCCTTCTCCTCCCTTGGGGCTGAGCCCGTGTCCCTCCAAGGCCACCCCGGGGTGTCCCTGGCTGTGTCCCCAATGTCCCCAAGCTGTCCCTGGCTGTGTCCCCGTGTCCCTGGCTGTGTCCCCAAGCTGTCCCCAATGTCCCCAATGTCCCTGTGTGTGTCCCCAAGCTGTCCCCCTGTCCCCAGTGATGTCACCATGTCCCTGGTGCTGTCCCTGGCTGTTTCCCCAATGTCCCCAAGCTGTCCCTGGGGGTGTCCCCATGTCCTTGGGTCTGTCCCCAATGTCGCCAAGCTGTCCCTGGCAATGTCCCTGTGTCCCTGGCGATGTCCCTAAGCTGTCCCCAATGTCGCCAAGCTGTCCCCTTGTCCCTGGCTGTGTCCCCGTGTCCCTGGTGATGTCCCCAAGCTGTCCCTGGCTGTGTCCCCAATGTCCCCAAGCTGTCCCTGTCAATGTCCCCAAGCTGTCCCTGTCAATGTCCCCAAGCTGTCCCTGTCAATGTCCCCAAGCTGTCCCCGCTGTCCCCAGAGCTGCGGCCGTTCCAGTCCCTGCCCTTCTCGTCCCTGGGTGCTGAGCCCGTGTCCCTCCAAGGCCACCCCGGGGTGTCCCTGGCTGTGTCCCCGTGTCCCTGGCTGTGTCCCCAATGTCCCCAAGCTGTCCCTGGCTGTGTCCCCAATGTCCCCAAGCTGTCCCCGCTGTCCCCAGAGCTGCGGCCGTTCCAGTCTCTCCCGTTCTCGTCCCTGGGTGCCGAGCCCGTGTCCCTCCAAGGCCACCCCGGGGTGTTCCTGGCTGTGTCCCCAATGTCCCCATGTCCCTTTCAATGTCCCCAATGTCCCCGGGCTGTCCCTGTCAATGTCCCCAAGCTGTCCCTGTCAATGTCCCCGCTGTCCCCAGAGCTGCGGCCGTTCCAGTCTCTCCCGTTCTCGTCCCTTGGTGCTGAGCCCGTGTCCCTCCAAGACCACCCCGGGGTGTTCCTGGCTGTGTCCCCAGTGTCCCCAAGCTGTCCCTGGCTGTATCCAGTGTCCCTGGGGATGTCCCCAAGCTGTCCCTGGCTGTGTCCCCATTGTCCCCAAGCTGTCCCTGTCAATGTCCCCAAGCTGTCCCCGCTGTCCCCAGAGCTGCGGCCGTTCCAGTCTCTCCCGTTCTCCTCCCTGGGTGCGGAGCCCGTGTCCCTCCAAGGCCACCCCGGGGTGTTCCTGGCGCAGCCGGCGCTGGGCGCCTGCGCCCTCCTGGAGTGGGACCAGCTCGGGGGGAGGTTCCGGGCCCAGAGCGTCGTCAACGGTGAGAGAAACGGGGGGAAAACGGGGGAAATTGGGGAAAAATGGGGGAGAAATGGGGAAAAATGAAAAAAAAGGGGGGAAAATGGTGCAAAAATGGGGGAAAAGCAAAGGGAAAATGGGGAAAATTATGGAGAAATGAGGGGGAGATTCTGGGCCCAGAGCATCGTCAATGGTGAGAGAAACGGGGGGAAAACGGGGGAAATTGGGAAAAAATGGGGGAGAAATGGGGAAAAATGAAAAAAAATGGGGGAAAATGGGAAAAAGTGGAGAAAAGCAAAAGGAAAATGGGGAGGAATGATGGAAAAATGAGGGGGAGGTTCTGGGCCCACAGAGTTGTCAACGGTGAGAGAAACGGGGGGAAAATGGGGGAAAATGGGAAAAAAGGGGGAAAAATGAAAAAAAATGGGGAAAATGGGGAAAAAATGGGGGAAAATGGGAAAAAATGGGGGAAAAATGGGAAAAAATTGGGGAAAACGAAGGAAAAATGAGGGGGAGGTTCTGGGCCCAGAGCGTCGTCAACGGTGAGAGAAACAGGGGGAAAACGGGGGAAATTGGGAAAAAACGGGGAGAAATTTTAAAAAATGGGGAAATTGGGAAAAAATGGGGGAAAAATTGGGAAAAAATTGGGAAAAACGAAGGAAAAATGAGGGGGAGGTTCTGGGCCCACAGAGTTGTCAACGGTGAGAGAAACGGGGGGAAAACGGGGGAAATTGGGAAAAAAGGGGGAGAAAATGAAAAAATGGGGAAAAATTGGGAAAAAATGGGAAACAACGGGGGAAAAGCAAAGGGAAAATGGGAAAAAATGGGGAAAAACTGGAGGAAAATGGGGAGAATGAGGGAAAAATGGGGAGAAGGTTTCAGGTCCAGAGCATCATCAATGGAGAGAGAAATGAGTGGAAAAACAGGGAAATTGGGAAAAAATACAGAAAAAATGAAAAAAAATGGGGGAAAAGCAAAGGGAAAATGGGGAGGAATGATGGAAAAATGGGGGGGAGATTCTGGGCCCAGAGCGTCGTCAATGGTGAGAGAAACGGGGGGAAAATGGGGGAAATTGGGAAAAATGGGGAAAAATGAAAAAAAATGGGGAAAAAAGGGGAAAAATTGGGAAAAATTGGGAAAAAATGGGGGGAAAATGGGGAAAAATGGGGAAAAATGAAGGAAAAATGTGGGGGAAGTTCTGAGCCCAGAGTGTTGTCAACAGTGAGAGAAATGGGGGAAAATGGGGAAAAATGGGGAAAAAATGAAAAAGGGGGAAAATGGGAAAAAATGGGGGAAAACCAAAGGGAAAATGGGAAAAAATGGGGGAAAAATGGGGGAATAATGGGGAGAATGAGGGAAAAATGGGGGGAAGGCTCCAGGCCCAGAGCGTCATCAACGGAGAGAGAAATGGGTGGAAAATGGGGGAAATTGGGAAAAATTGGGGAAAAATTGAAAAAAAATGGGGGAAAAATGGGCAAAAATGGGGAAAAAGTGGAGAAAAGCAAAAGGAAAATGGGGAGGAATGATGGAAAAATGGGGGGAGAGATTCTGGGCCCAGAGCGTCGTCAATGGTGAGAGAAACGGGGGGAAAATGGGGGAAATTGGGAAAAATGGGGAAAAATGAAAAAAAAAGGGGAAAATTGGGGGAAAATTGGGAAAAAAATGGGGGGAAATGGGGAAGAACAAAGGAAAAATGTGGGGGAGGTTCTGAGCCCAGAGTGTTGTCAACAGTGAGAGAAATGGGGGGAAAATGGGGAAAAATGGGGGAAAATGGGGGAAAATGGGGAAAAAATGAAAAAGGGGGAAAATGGGAAAAAATGGGGGAAAACCAATGGGAAAATGGGAAAAAATGGGGGAAAAATGGGGAGAATGGGGGAAAAATGGGGGGAAGGCTCCAGGCCCAGAGCATCATCAATGGAGAGAGAAATGGGGTGAAAAATGGGGAAATTGGGAAAAATTGGGAGAAACAGGGGAAAAATGGGGAAAATTGGGGGAAATTGGGAAAAAATGGGGGGAAAATGGGGAAAAATGGGGAAAAATGAAGGAAAAATGTGGGGGAGGTTCTGAGCCCAGAGTGTTGTCAACAGTGAGAGAAATGGGGGAAAATGGGGAAAACCAAAAGAAAATGGGGTAAAAATGGCATAAAACAAAGGAAAAATGGGGAAAAACAAAGGAAAAATTGGGAAAAAATGGGGAAAAGCAAAGGAAAAATGGGGGAAAAAGAAAGGAAATAATTGGGGGAAAATGGGGTAAAACAAAGGAAAAATGGGGAAAAATTGGGAAAAACAAAGGAAAAATGGGGTAAAAATGGGGTAAAAAACCAGGAAAAATGGTGAAAAGCAAAGGAAAAATGTGGAAAAACAAAGGAAAAATTGAGAAAATGGCGTAAAACAAAGGAAAAATGGGGTAAAACAATGGAAAAATGGGGAGAAAAATGGGGTAAAACCAAGGAAAAATGGGGAGAAAAATGGGGTAAAACAGGGGGAAAATGGGAAAAAACAAAGGAAAAATGGGAGGGAGGTTCCGGGCCCAGAGCGTCATCAACGGTGAGAGAAACGGGGGGAAAAACGGGAAAATTGGGAAAAATGGGGGAAAATGGAAAATGAAGGAAAAAATGGGAAAAACCCAAAGCAAAATGGTGGGGAAATTGAAAAAATGGGGGGAAAATGGAGAAAAACGGTGAAAAAATTCTGAAAATTGGGGAGAAATGGAAAAAATTGTGAAAAAATGGGGGAAATTGGGGGGGAAATGGTGAAAAATGGGGTGGGAATGGTGAAAATGGATGAGGAAAATCAAAATGGAGCCTGAGGGACACCAGGGGTGACAGTGACAGCCCAGAAATGGCCTTGGGGACACCAAAATGGGCTGGGGGACCCCAAGGTGGCCTTGGGGACACCAAAATGGGCTGGGGGACCCCAAGGTGGCCTTGGGGACATCAATATGGGCTGAGGGACACCAAGGTGGCCTTGGGGACAACAAAGGCAGCGCCACCATGGCCCCAAGGTCCCCAAATGGCCCCAAGGACCCCAACATCTCCAAGGTCCCCAATGTCCCCAAGGTCCTCAAATGTCCCCAAATGTCCCCAAGGTCCCCAACATCTCCAATGTGCCCAAGATCCTCAAATGTCCCCAAGGACCCCAACATCTGCAAGGTCCCCAAGGTCCTCAAATGTCCCCAAGGTCCCCAACATCTCCAATGTGCCCAAGATCCTCAAATGGCCCCAAGGACCCCAACATCTCCAATGTCCCCAAGGTCCCCAAGGTCCACAAATGTCCCCAAGGACCCCAACATCTGCAAGGTCCTCAATGTCCCCAAGGTCCCCAATATCTCCAATGTCCCCAAGGTCCCCAAGGTCCTCAAATGGCCCCAAGGTCCCCAGTGTCCCCATTACCCCAACATCTCCAATGTCCCCAAGGTCCTCAAATGTCCCCAAGCTCCCAGATGTCCCCGATATCCCCAGTCCCCCCATTGTCCCCAGTGTCCCCAGCGTCCCCAGCGTCCCCAATGTCCTCAACATCCCCAAGGTCCCCAAGGCCCCATCACCCCAACATCTCCAATGTCCCCAAGCTCCCCAATGTCCCCAATGTCCCCAGTGCCCCCAGCATCTCCAATGTCCCCAGCGTCCCCAAGGTCCCCAATGTCCCCAGTGTCCCCAAAGTCTCAAAGGTCCTCAACGTCTCCAGTGCCTCCAAGGTCCCAAAGATTCCCAACGTCCCCAATGTCCTCAAGGTCCCATCACCCCAACATCTCCAATGTCCCAATGACCCCAAAGTCCCCAACGTCCCTAAGGTCCCATCATCCAAACATCTCCAATGTCTCCAAGGTCCCAAAGGTCCCCAACATCCCCAAGGTCCCATCACCCCAACATCTCCAATGTCCCAAGGTCACCGATGTCCCAATGTCCCCAACAACCCCAAGGTCCCATCACCCCAATATCTCCAATGTTCCAACGTCCCCAACATCCCCAATGTCCCAATGACCCCAAGGACCCCAACATCCCCAAGGTCCCATCATCCAAACATCTCCAACGTCTCCAAGGTCCCAAGGGTCCCCAACATCCCCAACACCTCCAATGTCCCAATGACCCCAAGGTCCCCAACATCCCCAATGTCCCCAACACCTCCAATGTCCCCAAGGTCCCCAATGTCCCCAACACCTCCAATGTCCCCAAGGTCCCCAATGTCCCCAACACCTCCAATGTCCCCAAGGTCCCCAATGTCCCCATCACCCCAACATCTCCAATGTCCCCAACACCCTCCATATTCCCAAGGTCCCAAATGTCCTCAAGCTCCCCAATGTCCCCAGTGTCCCCAGTGCCCCCAGCATCTCCAATGTCCCCAGCGTCCCCAAGGTCCCATCACCCCAACATCTCCAATGTCCCAATGTCCCCAACATCCCCAATGTCCCCAACATCTCCAATGTCCCAATGTCCCAAACAACCCCAAGGTCCCATCACCCCAATATCTCCAATGTCCCCAACATCCCCAATGTCCCCAACATCTCCAATGTCCCAACGTCCCCAACATCCCCAATGTCCCCAACATCCCCAATGTCCCAATGACCCCAACATCTCCAATGTCCCCAATGTCCCCAACATCCCCAAGGTCCCCAACGTCCCCAAGGTCCCCAATGTCCCCAAGGTCCCATCACTCCAATATCTCCAATGTCCCCAACATCCCCAACGTCCCCAACATCTCCAATGTCCCAATGTCCCCAACATCCCCAATGTCTCAATGACCCCAACATCTCCAATGTCCGAACATCCCCAAAGTCCCCAACGACCCCAATGTCCCCAACGTCCCCAATGTCCCCAATGTCCCCAATGTCCCCAAGGTCCCATCACCCCAATATCTCCAATGTCCCCAACATCTCCAATGTCCCAATGTCCCCAACATCTCCAATGTCCCAATGAGCCCAAGGTCCCAATGACCCCAACATCCCCAATGTCCCAATGTCCCCAATGTCCCCAACATCCCCAAGGTCCCCAATGTCCCCAAGGTCCCATCACCCCAATATCTCCAATGTCCCAATGTCCCCAATGTCCCCAACATCTCCAATGTCCCAATGTCCCCAACATCCCCAATGTCTCAATGACCCCAACATCCCCAAAGTCCCCAATGTCCCCAACGTCCCCAACGTCCCCAACATCCCCAACGTCCCCAACATCCCCAACGTCCCCACATCCCCAGTGTCCCCCCTGTCCCCACTGACCCCCCTCCGCTCCCCAGGCTCCTCCCCGGTGTCCTGCCACCCGGTCCCGGTGGGTGACACGCTGCTGCTGGTGGTGGCCCAGCTGCGCGGCGGCTCCTGGGTGTGGCGCCGCTCGGGCGGCCCCGGCTCCTCCTTCGTGCGCCACCAGTCCCTGGGCCAGGGCCACCTTCGCCGTCCCCACGCCGTCACCGCCGCCCGCCTGGGCGGCCACCTCTACCTGGGCGTGGCCGACAGCTCCAAGGGCGGCACCAGCACCGTGTTCCGCTGGGCTTCCGGAGCCTTCTACCCACACCAGGCGCTGCGGCCGTGGCGGCGCGACACGCACCTGGAGTTCCTGGAGCTGGGCGGGCGCGCGGCGCTGGTGGTGTGCAGCGCGGCCAGGAGGCCCCAGGTGTACCTGTGGAGCGGCGGCGGCTTTGTGCCGCACACGGACATCCCGCACGTGCCCGACGTGTACGCGGCCAAGCACTTCCGGGTCAGGGGGAGCGTCTTCCTGTGTCTCACCAGGTTCCTGGGGGACGCCAAGGTGAGGAACGGGGCGGGGAGGGGGTGGTGGTGGGGGGGGGGGTTTGGGGTGCGTGGAGGTTGTGGGGGTTCATCAGGGTCATGGGGTCATGGGGTTATGGGGGTCCATCAGGGTCATGGGGTTATGGGGGTCCATCAAGGTCATGGGGGTCCATCAAGGTCATGGGGTTATGGGGTTCCATCAAGGTCATGGGGGTCCATCAGGTTATGGGGTTATCGGGGTCCATCAAGGTCATGAGGTTATGGGGTTCCATCATGGCTATGGGGTTATGGGGTTATCAGGGTCCATCAGGGTCATGGGGTTATGGGAGTCCATCAGGGTCATGGGGTTATGGGGGTCCATTAGGGTTATGGGGTTATGGGGTTCCATCATGGTTATGGGGTTATGGGGTTATGGGGGACCATCATGGTTATGGGGTTATTGGGTCCATCAGGGTCATGGGTCCATGGGTTTCCATCATGGCTACGGGGTTATGGGGTTCCATTAGGGTCATGGGGTTATGGGGTTATCGGGGTCCATCATGGTTATGGGGTTATGGCGTCCATCAGGGTCATGTGTCCATGGGGTTCCATCATGGCTATGGGGTTATGCAGTTCCATCATGGTTATGGGGTCATGGGGTTCAATCAGGGTCATGGGTCCATGGGTTTCCATCATGGCTACGGGGTTATGGGGTTCCATCAAGGTCATGGGGTTATGTGGTTATCGGGGTCCATCATGGTTATAGGGTTACGGGGTCCATCAGGGTCATGTGGTTATGGGGTTCCATCATGGTCATGGGTCCATGGGGTTCCATCAGGGCTATGGGGTTATGGGGTTCCATCATGGTTATGTGGTCATGGGGTTCCATTAGGGTCATGGGGTTATGGGGGTCCATCATGGTTATGGGGTGATGTGGTTATGGGGTTCTATCAAGATTATGGGTTCCATCAGGGTCATGTGGTTATGGAGGTCCATCAAGGTCACGGGGTCATGGGGTTCCATCAGGGTCATGGGGTTATCGGGGTCCATCATGGTTATGGGGTTCCATCAGGGTTATGGGGTCACATGGTTATGGGGTTCTTTTAAGATTATGGGTTCCATCTGGGTCATGTGGTTATGGATGTCCATCAAGGTCATGGGGTCATGGGGTCCATCAGGGTCATGGGGTTATGGGGGTCCATTACGGTTATGGGGTTATGGGGTTCCATCAAAGTCATGGGGTTATGTCGTTATGGGGGTCCATCATGGTTATGGGGTTATGGGGTTTGGGGTTCCAGCAAGGTCATGGGGTTATTGGGGTCCATCAGGGTCATGGGGTCATGGGGTTCCATCAGGGTCATGGGTCCATGGGGTTCCATCATGGTTAAGGGGTTATGGGGTCCATCAGGGTCATGGGGTTATGGGGTTCCATCAAGGTTATGGGGTCCATGGGGTTCCATCATGGCTATGGGGTTATGGGGTTCCATCAGGGTCATGGGGTTATGTGGTTATCGGGGTCCATCATGGTTATGGGGTTATGGGGGTCCATCAGGGTCATGGGGTTATGGGGTTCCATCAGGGTTATGGGGTCACGTGGTTATGGGGTTCTATCAAGATTATGGGTTCCATCAGGGCTATGTGGTTATGGGGGTCCATCATGATTGTGGGGTCATGGGGTTCCATCAGGGTCATGGGGTTATGGAGGTTCATCATGGTTATGGGGTTATGGGGGTCCATCATGGTTATGGGGTTATGGGGTTATGGGGTTCCATCAAGGTCACGGGGTCATGGGGTTCCATCAAGGTCATGGAGGGGTCAGCAGGGTCATGTGGGTACATTGAGGTAATGGGGTCATGGAGGTCCATCAAAGTATGGGAGTTCGGCACGGCCACGGGATTGTGGGGTACATTGAGGTAATGTGGTTATGGGGTTCCACCAGGGTCATGGGGTCATGGGGGTTCCACCATGGCCATGTGGTCATGGAGGGTCAGCAGGGTCATGGGGTTATGGGGTCCCATCAAGGTCGTGGAGTTCCATCAAGGTCATGGGGTTATGGAGGTCCACAAGGTCATGGAGGGTCAGCAGGGTCATGTGGTTATGGGGGTCCATCATGGCTATGGGGTTATGGGGTTCCATCATGGTTATTGGGTTATGGGGGTCTATCAAGGTCATGGGGTCATGTGGTCGTGGGGGTCCATCAAGATCATGGGGGCCAGCAGGGTCATGTGGTTATGGGGGTACATTGAGGTCATGTGGTTATGGGGGTCCATCAGGGTCATGGGGGTCCATCAAGGTCATGGGGTTATGGAGTTCCATCATGGTTATGGGGTTATGGGGGTCCATCAAGGTCATGTGGTTATGGGGGTCCATCAAGGTTATGGGGTTATGGGGTTCCATCAAGGTCATGGGGGTATGGGGTTCCATCATGGTTATGGGGTTATGGGGGTCCATCAAGGTCATGTGGTTATGGAGTTCCATCATGGTTATGGGGTTATGGGGGTCCATCAGGGTCATAGGGTCATGTGGTCATGGGGGTCAATCAAGATCATGGGGGTCAGCAGGGTCATGTCGTTATGGGGGTACATTGAGGTCATGTGGTTATGGTGGTCCATCAAGGTTATGGGGTCATGTGGTTATGGGGGTCTATCAGGGTCATGGGATTATGGGGGTCCATCAAGGTCATGGGAGTCAGCAGGGTCATGGGGGTCCATCAAGGTCATGGGGGTCCACCTCTGACCCTGTGACCCCATGTGCAGGGTATGGTGGTGGGAGGGCTCCAATCCCACCCAACCCAACTGATCCCAACTCAACCCATCCCACCCCATGGTGCCACCACCCATCCCATGGTCCCACCACTGACCCCAAACCCCACCCACCATGTCCAGGTGATGGCGCTGGGAGGGCTCCAACCCAACCCAACCCATCCCATGGTTCCACCACCCATCCCATGACCCCATCATGGACCCCAAGGTCCCACCACTGACCCCCGCCATGACCCCACCACCGACCTCATGACCCCAAACCCCACCTGCCCATGTCCAGGTGATGGTGCTGGGAGGGCTCCAATCCAACCCAACCCAACCCAACCCAACCCAACATAACCAACCCAACCATCCCATGGTCCCACCACCATCCCAGGTCCCCAACACCCATCCCATGGTCCCATCATCCACCACTGTGACCTCACCACTGACCCCAAAGCCCCACCCACATCCAGGTGATGCATTGGGAGGGCTCCAACCCAACTCAACCCAACTCAACCCAACCCAACCCAACCCATCCCATCCCATGGTCCCACCACTCATCCCCTGGTCCCACCACTGATCTCATGGTCCCACCACCCACCCCATGGTCCCACCACCATCCAATGACCTCATCACCCACCCCATGGTCCCACCACTGATCCCACCACCATCCCCTGGTCCCACCACCATCCCCTGACCCCACCACCATCCCCTGGTCCCACCACCATCCCCTGGTCCCACCACTGATCTCATGGTCCCACCACCATCCAATGACCTCATCACCCACCCCATGGTTCCACCACCCATCCCATGGTCCCACCACCACCCGATGACCTCATCACCCACCCCATGGTCCCACCACTCATCTCCTGACCCTACCACTGATCTCATGGTCCCACCACTCATCCCCTGACCCCACCACCCACCCTAAGGTCCCACCACCCACCCCATGGTCCCACCACCACCTGATGACCTCATCACCCACCCCACAGTCCCACCACTGATCTCATGGTCCCATCACCCATCCCATGGTCCCACCCCCATCCCCTGACCCCACCACCCTCCCCTGTTCCCCCTGCCCACCCCTGGTCCCACCACCATCCCCTGGTCCCACCACCATCCCCTGGTCCCACCACTGATCTCATGGTCCCACCACCATCCCCTGGTCCCACCAGTGATCCCATGATCCCACCACCATCCGATGACCTCATCACCCACCCCTGGTCCCACCACCCATCCCCTGACCCCACCACCCATCCCCTGGTCCCACCACTGATCTCATGGTCCCACCACCACCCAATGACCTCATCACCCACCCCATGGTCCCACCACCCATCCCCTGACCCCACCACTGATCTCATGGTCCCACCACCCACCTCATGGTTCCACCAGTGATGCCCTGGTCCCACCACCCATCCAATGGCCTCATCACCCACCCCATGGTGCCACCACCCATCCCTTGGTCCCACCACCCATCCAATGGCCTCATCACCCACCCCATGGTCCCACCACTGGTCCCACCACCCGTCCCATGGTCCCACCACCATCCCCTGACCCCACCACTGATCTCATGGTCTCCCCACTGATCTCATGGTCCCACCACCCTCCCCTGGTCCCACCACCACCCGATGACCTCACCACCCATCTCATGGTCCCACCACTGATCCCACCACCCATCCCATGGTCCCACCACCATCCCATGATGCCCCCACCCATCCCCTGACCCCACCACCCACCCCCTTTTCCCCCCGCCCACCCCATTCCCGTGGCAGGTGATGCGCTGGGAGGGCTCCATGTTCCGCGAGGTGCAGGCGGTGCCGGCGCGCGGCTCCCTGGTGTTCCAGCCGCTTCTCCTGGCCGGCCACCGCTACGTCCTGCTGGGCAACGACTTCGCGCCGAGCCGCGTGTTCCGCCTGGGCGCCGCCGGGCGCCTGGAGCCCGAGCAGGAGCTGCCGGCGCCCTCGCCCCGCGCCTTCGTCCCCCTCGCCGCCGGCCACCGGCACTTCCTGCTGGCCACCAGCTTCAAGGGCGCCACGCAGGTCTACGCACACGTCACCGAGGACGTCGGCACCTAGGGGACAGCTGGGGACAGATGGGGACACCTGGGGGCGCCTGGGGACAGATGGGGACACCTGGGGACACCTGGGGACATCCACGTCACCGAGGACGTCGGCACCTAGGGGGCGCCTGGGGACAGATGGGGACCGATGGGGACAGCTGGGGGCACCTGGGGACAGCTGGGGACACCTGGGGACAGCTGGGGACAGCTGGGGACAGATGGGGACAGATGGGGACACCTGGGGACAGATGGGGACAGATGGGGACAGATGGGGGCAGATGGGGACACCTGGGGACTGATGGGGACAGATGGGGACATCCATGGCACCGAGGACGTCAGCACCTAGGGGGCGCCTGGGGACAGATGGGGACAGCTGGGGACAGATGGGGACATCCACGTCACCGAGGACATCGTCACCTAGGGGGCACCTGAGGACAGATGGGGACAGCTGGGGACACCTGGAGACATCCATGTCACCAAGGACGTCGGCACCTTGGGGGCGCCTGGGGACAGATGGGGCAGCTGGGGACAGATGGGGACATCCACGTCACCGAGGACGTCAGCACCTAGGGGACGCCTGGGGACAGATGGGGACAGCTGGGGACACCTGGGGACAGATGGGGACACCTGGGGCCATCCATGTGACCAAGGACATCAGCACCTAGGGGACACCTGGGGACAGATGGGGGCACCTGGGGACACCTAGGGACATCCATGTCCCACCACACATGAGGACATGGGCACCTGGGGACACCTGGGGACATCCACGTCACCGAGGACGTCGGCACCTAGGGGGCGCCTGGGGACACCTGGGGACATCCACGTCACTGAGGACATTGGAACCTAGGGGACACCTGGGGGCACCTGGGGACATCCATGTGATCGAGGACATTGGAACCTTGGGGACACCTGGGGACATCCACGTCCCACCACACACAAGGACATGGGCACCTAGGGGACACCTGAGGACAGATGGGGACATCCACGTCACCGAGGACATCGGCACCTAGGGGGCGCCTGGGGACAGATGGGGACACCTGGGGACACCTGGGGACAGCCAGATCTACACGCACGTCACTGAGGACATGGGCACCTAGGGGACACCTGGGGACACCTGGGGACACCTGGGGACATCCACGTCACTGAGGACATGGGCACCTGGGAGACCTGTGGTGGCATCTGGAGGGACGTGGGGATGGTGACCACCATGATGTTATGGAGATGGGGACATCAGGGGACACGTGGTGGCATCTGGAGGGACGTGGGGATGGTGGCCACCACATCACCGTGGAGATGGGGACATCAGGAGACATCTGGGGACACCTGGGGACAGCCGGGTGGCATCTGGAGGGACATGGGGATGGTGGTGACCACGATGCTGTAGAGGTGGGGACATCTGGGGACATCTGGGGACATCACGGGGATCTGTGGTGGCAGCTGGAGGGACGTGGGGATGGTGGCAACCGTGTCACCATGGAGATGGGGACATCAGGGGACACCTGGGTCTGCGGTGTCACCGAGGACATGGGGACATGAGGGGACAGCTGGGGACACCAGGTGGCCGCTGAGGGTGGTGCCACCAGGTCACCATGGAGACGGGGACATCAGGGGACACCATGGGGACACCATGGGGACACCACGGGGATGGCAGTGCCACCACAGCCCCGTGCAGCTGCAGGGACATGGGGATGGTGGTCACCATGGAGATGGGGACATCGGGGGACACCATGGGGACACCACGGGGATGGCAGTGCCACCACAGCCCCGTGCAGCTGCAGGGACCTGGGGCCACCCTCACGCCCTGTCCCCAAGGCCACCAGTGACCCAATGTCCCCTCCTGGTGCCACCATCGCTCTGATGTCCCCAAGGCCACCACTGAGCCAGTGTCCCCAGAGCCACTGTCACCCTGATGTCCCCTCCTGGTGCCACCATCGCCCCAAGGTCACCTTGGCTTTGTCACCTGCTGGTGCCACCAATGCCTCCTTGATGTCCCCAAGGCCACCATTGACCCAATGTCCCCAGGGCCTTGTGTCCCCTCCTGGTGCCACCGTGGCCCTGATGTCTCCAGGGTCACCACCACTGACCCAATGTCCCCAGAGTCGCTGTCACCCCAATGTCACCCTTGGCGTTGTGTCCCCTCCTGGTGCCACCATCACTCAATGTCCCCAGGGCCACCACCATTGTCCCAATGTCACCATGAGCCTTGTGTCCCCTGCTGGTGCCACCATCAATCGATGTCCCCAAGGCCACCACTGACCTGATGACCTCAGAGCCAGTGTGACCCCAATGTCCCCAAGGCCACCATCGCCCCAAGGTCACCTTGGCTTTGTCACCTGCTGGTGCCACCAATGCCTCCTCGATGTCCCCAAGGCCACCATTGACCCAACGTCCCCTCCTGGTGTCACCAATGCTCCAATGTCCCCAAGGCCACCACTGACCCAATGTCCCCAGGGCCTTGTGTCCCCTCCTGATGCCACCGTGGCCCTGATGTCCCCAGGGTCACCACCACTAACCCAATGTCCCCAGAGTCCCTGTCACCCCCGATGTCACCCTTGGCTTTGTGTCACTTTCTGGTGCCACCATGGCCCCGATGTCCCCTCCTGGTGCCACCACTGACCCAATGTCCCCAAGGCCACCACCACTGACCCAATGCCACCTCCTGGTGCCACCATTGCTCTGATGTCCCCAAGGCCACAACCATTGACCCAATGTCCCCAGGCCCTTGTGTCCCCTCCTGGTGCCACCATCTCTCTGATGTCCCCAAGGCCACCACCACTGACCCAATGTCCCCAGAGTCGCTGTCACCCCAATGTCACCCTTGGCGTTGTGTCCCCTCCTGGTGCCACCATGTCCCGATGTCCCCAAGGCCATCCATTGTCACCTCAGTGTCACCACTGGTCTCGTGTCCTCTTCTGGTGCCACCATGGCCTCAGTGTCCCCAAGGCCACCACTGACCTGATGTCACCATGAGCCTTGTGTCCCCTGCTGGTGCCACCATCACCCCGATGTCCCCAAGGCCACCATTGACCCAATGCCACCTCCTGGTGCCACCATCTCTCTGATGTCCCCAAGGCCACCACCACTGACCCAATGTCCCCAGAGTCGCTGTCACCCCAATGTCACCCTTGGCGTTGTGTCACCTCCTGCTGCCACCATCACTCAATGTCCCCAAGGCCATCCATTGTCACCTCAGTGTCACCACTGGTCTCATGTCCTCTTCTGGTGCCACCATCTCTTCTGATGTCCCCAAGGCCACCACTGACCTGATGACCTCAGAGCCAGTGTGACCCCAGTGTCCCCAAGGCCACCACTGACCTGATGACCTCAGAGCCAGTGTCACCTCAGTGTCCCCAAGGCCACCACTGACCCAATGTCCCCAAGGCCACCACTGACCTGATGTCACCATGAGCCTTGTGTCCCCTGCTGGTGCCACCATCAATCGATGTCCCCAAGGCCACCACTGACCTGATGACCTCAGAGCCACTGTGACCCCCATGTCCCCAAGGCCACCATCGCCCCAAGGTCACCTTGGCTTTGTCACCTGCTGGTGCCACCAATGCCTCCTCGATGTCCCCAAGGCCACCATTGACCCAATGTCCCCTCCTGGTGTCACCAATGCTCCAATGTCCCCAAGGCCACCATTGACCCAATGTCCCCAGGGTCTTGTGTCCCCTCCTGATGCCACCGTGGCCCTGATGTCCCCAGGGTCACCACCACTGACCCAATGTCCCCAAAGTCGCTGTCACCCCGATGTCACCCTTGGCTTTGTGTCACTTTCTGGTGCCACCATGGCCCCGATGTCCCCTCCTGGTGCCACCACTGACCCAATGTCCCCAAGGCCACCACCACTGACCCAATGTCCCCTCCTGGTGCCACCATCACCCCAATGTCCCCAAGGCCACCACTGACCCAATGTCCCCAGGGCCTTGTGTCCCCTCCTGGTGCCACCGTGGCCCTGATGTCCCCAGGGTCACCACCACTGACCCGATGTCCCCAGAGTCGCTGTCACCCCAATGTCACCCTTGGCTTTGTGTCACTTTCTGGTGCCACCATGTCCCCAGTGTCCCCAAGGCCACCATCATTAATGTCCCCTCCTGGTGCCACCATGGCCCTGATGTCCCCAGGGTCACCATTGACCCAATGTCCCCAAGGCCACCACCACTGACCCAATGTCCCCAGAGTCGCTGTCACCCCAATGTCACCCTTGGCGTTGTGTCCCCTCCTGGTGCCACCATCACTCAATGTCCCCAAGGCCATCCATTGTCACCTCAGTGTCACCACTGGTCTCGTGTCCTCTTCTGGTGCCACCATCTCTTCTGATGTCCCCAAGGCCACCACGGACCTGATGACCTCAGAGCCACCCTCACCCCAGTGTCCCCTCCTGGTGCCGCTGTCACCCCGGTGTCCCCAAGGCCACCATCGTTGACCCAATGTCCCCAAGGCCACCATCGCCCCAAGGTCACCTTGGCTTTGTCACCTGCTGGTGCCACCAATGCCTCCTCGATGTCCCCAAGGCCACCACTGACCCAACGTCCCCTCCTGGTGTCACCAATGCTCCAATGTCCCCAAGGTCTCGTGTCCCCTCCTGGTGCCACCATCTCCCCAATGTCCCCAAGGCCACCATTGTTCTGATGTCCCCAGAGCCACCATCACCCCAATGTCCCCTCCTGGTGCCACCACTGACCCAATGTCCCCAAGGCCACCATCACTCTGATGTCCCCAAAGTCACCATCACTTCAGTGTCCCCTCCTGGTGCCACCATCACCCCGATGTCCCCAAGGCCACCATTGACCCAATGCCACCTCCTGGTGCCACCATCTCAGTGATGTCCCCAAGGCCACCATCGCCCCAATGTCCCCAAGGCCACCACCACTGACCCAATGTCCCCAAGGCCACCACCATTGACCCAATGTCCCCAGAGTCGCTGTCACCCCGATGTCACCCTTGGCTTTGTGTCACCTCCTGCTGCCACCAATGCCCCGATGTCCCCAAGGCCACCACCATTGACCCAATGTC